TTTGATATTAACGTGTTTCCCCGAAAAAAAGACAAGGTCTTATTTTCTTTTGACCCTGGAAATAAGGCCTTATTTTTGGGGAGGTCTTATTATTTTTGAGGTGCAGGAGGTGGTGAGCGTGGTCACTTCATGGCTGCTGCTCTGTTGCGATATTTTGGGGGAGGGTTTATTTTAGTGCATGCGCTCAAAAGCTCAGCTGGGCTTAATATCCAGGGAGGTCTTATTTGGGGGAAACAGGGTAGTAGTGGTGTCAATATTCAGGAAGCTAATGTTGGAATAGAGGCAGAAACCTGCAATATTTGAAAACTGGCGATTTGTCTCAGCTTCCAAACCTTTAAAAATGCTGTTTAGCTTGCCGTTATAGTCAAAATCCATCACTGTTTAATTGTCGGTTTAAAAAAATAGCACTCTTACAACCATTGTTCAAAAGTGGGAGGTTGGGGAGGCATTGCACCTGAAAGGCCCCAGGCTCAAAACCTTTGGAAGTTCAGGGAGATTTGCGCCTATAACCACGGATGGGAAGCCACATCGGCCCGTTATGGCTGGGAGTTGAAATCCACAGATTGTAAAGGAGCTATAGCTGTCCACCCTCGCTGTAGATCATGTTCAAGACTTTCCTTAAAGTAAAACAATTGCCCAGATTTCTGCAAGCCCATACTTGTCCTGAAATCTTCTTTGAAGAAAACCATTTTTGGGGATTACCCCTTGATGTCCTTAATATTGGGAAGAGGCTCTCTGTGCTTTCAACAGAGATAGCAATAGCAGATTTTTATATACCGCTTCATAGGGCTTTCAGCCCTCTCTAAGCGGTTTACAGAGTCAGCATATTGCCCCCAACAACAATCCGGGTCCTCATTTTACCCATCTCGGAAGGATGGAAGGCTGAGTCAACCCTGAGCCGGTGAGCTTTTATAGCAACTTCTTATAGTTGCTATAAGAAGAACATTCTTTTATTTTACATACCGTAGCAATGTTTTTTATAGTATAGTCTTTATTGACATTGTACAAAGTAAATACAATGAAATTGGTTCAATTGGTGAACTGAAAATTGGGTGTTTTTGGAAGTTGAGGACTTTTATGATGCTCTTCCGTGAAAAGGTTTTTGTTTTTTTAATGAAAGCTAAATTGCATCATGTGTGTGTGTGGGGGGGGACAATTGATGCCATGACACCACTGCACAAGTGACATTATCCTGTGTAGTTTGTGCAATTCCCCTGATGTCAAAAAGTAAGTGTGCCTGTTGTTACTGCCTGCTTCTCATACTATTATAAACTTCACAATGTTGAAATGAAATAGTTTAGATTTATTAGCAATTGAGTTTTCAAGTATAATAATCAAGCTTCAGTTAGAAGCTGAAAACTAGCAAGTCACTGGCTGAAACTGATCGGTTGATTGATTGATCTGATTTCCTTTTATTATTTATTTCCTTTTATTATTAAAGGGAATTTTTTTGTATTTATTTGTATTTAAGTTTATTTATATGCCGCCCTTTTCCCTGGGGGGACTCAGGGCGGCTTACAACTTAAAAAGGGGGGGGGGAACAAACTTTTAACATATAGAACAATACATCATTAAAACACAACATTCATACCATTCGGGCGGGTTGCAATCTTTAGCCCCAGGCCTGACGGGATAGCCAGTTTTTAAGAGCTGTGCGGAAGGTCTGGAGGGTGGTGAGGGTACGAATCTCCACGGGGAGATCGTTCCATAGGGTCGGAGCTGCCACCGAGAAGGCTCTCCTCCGCGTGGTTGCCAGTCGACATTGACTGGCGGATGGAACTCCACTGGGAATGCCACTGGGAGTATGAAATCAGAGGTAGTTTACACAAATAGCCAAACTACACAAGAAAATTCTGCTTTAAAAAACAACTCTATCCACCTTACCTCCAAATTAGAAAATAAACAGACACTAGGTCTTAGCAAGCATCAAAAAGTATATAATGCATTTATTCATACAGCTTGTAGTTTGAGCTTGTTTTCGGCTTGGACTTATAAATAGGGGAGTGCAGGTTTTTCAGAGTTCAAAAAAAAAGAAAAAAGAAAAAAGAATTGAGAAATTTGATATACATCCTAGTATTTACCTAAGGACAGTTGCATCCTTTGCATCCATGTAAAACAAAGTTAGTGTTATGGGTGGAGATGGCAGCAGATTCGGACAGTGAGGAGGTTGGAGAGGAACATGGGCCAGTCCTGGAGTCTGGGGAAGGCTCTGATGAGGGCTCTGTGTTAGAGGCAGAGAGGGGGCCAGAGCCGTATGCCAGTTATCAGTTGCCTTCAGAGTCGGACAACAGTGAGGCAGAGGAACAGCTGGAGCCTGTTCCCAGTATGTGCATGCACAGAGTTGCCAGAGGAAGGGAACAGCTAAAGAACAGGGGTTGACTTGGGAGTAAGGCCACAGGTGGACAATGAATGGCCCCTCCCAGAGCAAATAAAAGAGGAGCAAAAGGGGAGTGGAGTTTGCAGGAGACAATTAGTTCGCTTAATTGGTTCGAGACTCCTTGCCACGTTTTGCAGATGTCGGCCTGGCAGCTCTCCAAGCCAGATGTGGTCTGTGATTGTAAATCCTCCCTTGAAAGACTTTGCTGGATGTGAATAGGCAGAATCCACAGTAAATTAATAAAAGGGATTTTTGTTGGGACAAGGAGTTGCTTGATGCTCTTGGGAAGCCTAGGTCAGAACAGTTACTTCATGCTGAAATGGACATCCCTGAACATGCTTACTTGAAATTAATGCAGTGGGAATGTATAATGTGCATACATGTTATTGAATAGGTTCCTGTGCAGTTTGAAACTCTGCCACAAATTATATTCTTCAAAGTAATACCTCTCAAGTTTGGGACCATTTATTTAAAAGTCATTCTCCTTTGTATGGCTGAGAATTTCTGCTCAGCAATACAGATGGAAAATAAGCTGGACCATTTCAACCAATTCCCTGTTGCACAAGCCTCTATCACTTCAATCTAGGCTCAATTCCAGGACGCAGGAAATGGCTGGAAAAAAAAATCCTATTTTGTTCTGAGGGAAGGATATAACTGCTGGAACATTAAGTACTCTGTGGAACATAAAGCATGAAATGCACATGCGATTCAATGAATTGGATGTAAAGAAACTGCAAGTCCATCCAAGTGCAGTCTTAATACATTCACTTTTGGAAGTAAATGCTTTTTTGCTCAGGGTGCTTATGCTTAAATAGGTGTCCCTATCGCTCCGTTAATAGGTGTCAATTAGATTGCCCCCAAATCAGAGGAAGCATGGAATATTTTACATCTTGTAATAATTCCACGAATAATTCTACAAGTATCATGTTAAAAATACATTCTCTCTCTCACACACACCCTCCCTCCCCCTCCCTCTAATTCTCATATTTGAATAGGGAAAGTTCACCTGCATTTTTGAGACACTTCTACCATAAAGAACATAGGACCATAGTTAATGCACAATTGTAATTTAAATGAAAATGGTTCTGCATCATTAAGGCACAATTTGCCCCAACAGTCTCCCACTGTGTATCTGAAACAGTATTTTCTAGGACTAGTTGTTTGATTTCAGATCAGGATTTCAGCATTGCAAAGTGTTGCTCCATTCGTGGCTGCTGCATTGAAGTTCTTCAGAGGTTTGTGAGTGAGCAAAGTGTAATGTGTATGTGTGAGTAACTAAAAGTAGCCAAAAGGGGGAAATTATTTGGGGTGGGGGAACAATCTAAACAATCTTGGTTAATTTTTAAAAAAAAGGTTAGGCAGGGACCATTAGGGGGAGTTCACTCATATCATCTGGGCTCCATTTTGACTGGATTCCTGCCCCTGATAAAGCTCTGTTCTTATAGGTGCTAGTATCTTAAACTTCTATTTGCTGATTTGGACCACAGCTACAAAGAGGACGGAAGCACCAAGTAGCGTATAACAATGTTTGTATTACAAAGCAGATGGGAAATGATAGTATTTGATTTTTAATGCATGGTTGATGTAGTCCTCTCAACATATTGGAAGAAATATCCATCTGGTTGAGTTCCAAGTGGGGAGAAAGACACTGGAAACATGGGGGCTGATTGGAAAGATGGTTTAATGGTGAGGAACCACCAAGCACATGTGACTAGCTGACCACATGGAGTGGAGAACGAGGATTATTTATACTCTCTCTTGAGCCTTGCCCTTGAGCTTCCTGTTCCTGTAGCAAGAGCATGTATTCTCTTGGCTGTAGTCAGACTCCCATGGGGCCATGTTGGAGTCATGTTTGTGTGAATCAAGTTTGGTTGAACCTTGGGCTGATGCAATGAAGAAGAGGCTTTGTTGTGCAGTTTCTATTGTGGCTGAATGGCTTTGCCCTGAAGGATAATCCCATCATCCTGGAGTTGAAGGTCTTTTGTCTTGTAGATAGGCTGACCCAGTCCTTCTCAGTGGGCACCAAATATCTGCTGGGGGGGCAGGGAGCTGTAACTGTGAGCTTCTGTCTTCAGAAACATGTTTCTCCTTTAGGGAAAATATAATATTCCACCTTTTTAATGTTTCCTAAAATATTTCGTTCTTCTAAGAGCGGTGGGTGCTAACTTTAGACAATAAAGACAATATGTTTATAAAGTTTTAGAGGGAGGAGGACTCTCTCTCTCTTGGTTTGATCTGTTCCAAATATTTCATTTCCTTGGCTGTCCTTTTGTATCTGGGAAGATGCCAGTCCTGTTACACCCCAGAAGGATTTTGGGGAGGAGAACCTCTGTCTCCCGTGGTGAGAAATCTGTCCTTGTTAGCCTTAGCCTCTTTTCTCACATAGTTCCTTGTTGATTTCATCCATCTGGGTGGAATGTCTCACCTTCTGCTCCAGAGGAAATCTTGCTCTTGCAGCTTAGTTTAATTTAGTTCACTTTGTTGTCATTGCACCTTGTACAACGAAATTTAAATGCGATCTTCAGTGTACAATGACAGTTCAGGTTGTGGTTGTTAAGGAATCATGTGCAGTCATTAAGCACAACATCAGGGGGGGGCTGGTTTCCTCATTAACTTGACTTACTGGAAGCTGGCAGCGAAGATCACAAGTGGGGATGACGTGACTGTGGGAAGCTGTGACCATTGTAACTGTGTGCCGATTGCCAAGTGCCCCAATCATGATCTTGTGACTGTGAGGACACTGCGACAGCCACAACTTCAAGGACTGGCCATAAGTCTTCTTGTTGAGCACTGTTGTAAATTTGAATGGTTGCTGAACAAGAAGTCACTAAGTGAGGACTACCTGCATAGTCAAAAGCCCTTCCCTGTCTTTCACAGTTGACAAAGCATAAGGATACCCCTAATGACAACAATCGGACCAACCACTTGGTGGGCTCTGTAGTACCCAGCGGGCCTCTGGCGTGCCGGCAAAACTATGTCTTCATGCTTTTTGAAATAATGTCGTGGAGGGGGAGGGCAACCTTATTATTTCTGCAAGGATGATGTTCCATATATATGAACTGGTTCGAATCCCAGTAAGGGTATGGCTAGCTGATGAGAGCTAAATAGCTTGAAATCGATCTATACTAGTCTCCCTTTATTTATTTATCAGCACAAACACAACATATATACATATACATATACATAAACATACACACACACACACACACACACACACACACACAC